AAAAAAAAATCAGGCGCGGCGCCACTTTGTCAAAACGCCTCGATCGATAAGGCACCAAACTCCCCGCGCACACAGGGAGATTATCACTTTGTGAACGAAGAGGGAACGGGAGCGGCCGCCGCTGCTTTTGGCCCGTTTCGATTTCGACCACAACAAGCTTCAAATTCAAACCACCACTCTACCCGACGTTGGAAATTTGGGGGACCGGTAGCACAGGTCCATGAGGGCTACCAGTAGCACAGAGTGGAGAACCGGCAAAGTGGTGAATATGGAAAATGAGATGAATTTGCGCTATAAGCTATTTCGTGGTTGAGGCAATTTTTTTAATGTTTTTAAACATTTTTCCTGAAAAGATCATGACCAAATCTACGGACCCTCAAATTTTCAGACTTGTTTACGAGTTCTTCTGAGCGCGAAAAATCTTTGAAATAGGGGTACTTGTCCCGTTGGCCCACAAGTTTGTCGTGTGCCAAAAATGGAAAAAGTGATGAATTGGCACGGCATTTATTTCATGGTCTAAGCGATTTTATTTTATTTTGTTGATATTTTTCCTGGAAAGATCACGACCTGGCCTCCCCAATATAAAATTTTCAGATCTTTTCTCCAATTATTCTGCGTACGAAAAATCACCAAAGTTGGCGCTCGAAATTTGCAAGATTGGACCCGCCTGCGCCTTCCAGTCGGCGCCCCCCCTAAAAACCCGCCCTAACTCCGTGGAATGCCAATTTTCAGGACCCGGCCTCCCCGACCTCCTGCGGGCAGCTACCGGTCCTCCAACAGCGAAAACTGCCTATTTCCCACGAATTGGACCCCCAGCAAATACACCACCCTTCCAACTACCGCACCGTTTGGTGACGACGAGGAAAAATGTCTCAGGGGCATAAAACGCACCCCTGACGGGCTGCAAACTGATTTAGTGAGTGCTGGAGCGAGGCCCGTTGGTCAGCCACAGCTGCCACAACGGTCAAAAAGAAAAAGAGAAAACTAGGGCGCTGTCAAGGTTACCGTTTGAAAATACATTTCAAACTGCCGTTTTTGGAGTCCAGTCCCCTCTCAAGTTTACACTGCAGTCCAAACTCCGCCGACGCGTGGCTGTGGCAGGGCAGAGTTTGTAACTGCAGTCTAGTCATCCACGTCGGAGGGCCAGGCCGTTTTCCAAAAAAAAAAAGAAGAAACGAGAAGAAAAAAAAAAAAAGATAGTGGCCCTGTATCTTTCCATGCTCTACCTAAAGATTCACTCTGGGTTTCCACAACTGATCTCCAAATGTGCAAAACGAGAGTGAATCTTCCCCAGAAACATGGAAAGATACAGCTCCATGATTTTTGTCTTCTGTGCAACGGGAATACAGGTCCCCAGCGGGATACACGGCTGACAAAAACGCAGAGGCCCTAGGGGAGACACGTGCTGACAAAAACCCAGTTTCTTTTTTTTTTTTTTGTCTCTTTTTTTTCTTTTCTCAGATTTCTCGACCTATGCGTGTCATCCTTGGGGCCCCGTGGTGGTGCATCTTTCCATGTTGTAGCGGAAGATTCACTCTCGTTTTGCATGGCTCCACTACTCTCGAAATGTGCAAAAGGAGAGTGAATCTTCCTGTAGAACATGGAAAGATACAGCGCCCTTGATTTCTGTCCGTTGTGCATGTCAAGAATAGTGGAGCAAGGCCCCCTCTTTTTTTTTTTTTGTTCCTATAAATCTAGGCTCCGTTGCGTGGCTGGCCACGGCCGCAATGCCTCGGCCACATCCGAGGTTAAAAAAAAA